GATGTAATATATAGGTCAGTGGAATTCTGTACCCAAATGTAGCATTTGCAAATCCGAAGAATTTGGATGTGCGCCAATAACGTCCAGCAATACTAGTAAAAACTGCAGGCGGTGTAATCTCGTGTCACAGTCGTGTGTGACTCAATGTGCTGTGGTGGCAGCCCCCTATCGGTACAATGCTGTGTTGCAACTATTCCATTGTGTTGTCCTCACGCCACCTACACTATTGTAGATAAACCGCACGTTCAATACAAAGAGCATATGTTAATAAAAGTTTCTAGTTTGCGTAAGAAATAGTACCAAAGTACCAGGTATTTTTACTTTGTATTAGTGTCCAATCACGATATTACTCCAGCTTGAGCCGAAAGCGATCTATATGTACCAGAAATCTTGCCATGTTTCACTGTATACAGATGAATGTTGACAATAACATGTCCAAGTGAAGTATCAGTTCGTGAGATCGTAATTGACTACTGATAATAAAGAACATACCGTTTACATGGCTGGACCATTGATTGTACGTGAACTGTGGTGTGTATGCTGTGTACGTGGCAGCAGACTTTGATCTTCACGGAAATGATGTCTGTATTTATCCACACTCGTGTATTTGTAAAGAACTGGATATAATGTCCATCATGTACACAATAATCATGAAATATAATCATGGCGTCGGACGCAGTTGTTAGGTGTGTTATTTGTACTTAACTTTAATCTGAGTTTGTCAGTGTAGAAAATGGGTTTTAAAAATTGCCATGCATAGTCCCATAACCATTATGTGTATCATATTAAGTCGAACTGGCCCCTACGGTTGCTGTCAGGATGGGATGATTAAATTGAACACCAGAAACTTCTCAAGTTTGTAAAATTTAACCCTTCTTAATTTGACCACTAGGTGATTTCCCCATGACGGAATATGTTTAGTATTGACCACATTGGACAAGAAAGTTTGCAACCATGCTGTAAATCATGCAAAACATGTTATGCCGCATGAGGGCGCTATGCATCCCAAAAACCCCCATGCAGGCTCATCGTCAAATCGTCAAAATTAATCTAATCAGCAGAGATGACCAATGGGAAACGTGCATTTTTCTGACCAACGGAGAGGCTCCAAAGTGCATTTTTTCTGACCAATGAGCATGCCAGGATTCTGCTCAATCGACCTATCGGAGGCTAGAATTCTTCGCAAGGTGGTTGGAAGTTATAAAGCAGGCGTGCGGGGACGGCTGAGTTCAATCAGTCGATTTTCAACTGTTTCTACAGCGCGGAGGGTATCGACACGGCGGTCTGCAAGACGAAATGTGGGGGAAATGGCGGTGCCAAAACGTCCAGGGCATGAAACATGGAGACCCGCAATGTAAAGGTGAGACTATCGACAATTGTAGTTCACCGGAATCGTTTGTATGTAACGTGACCTTCAGCGGACAGTCAAGTGTTTGGTTTCGTAGCGTTTTCCTTTCTACTTCTGGATCACGTGCACGGAAATCTCCTCGTAATTTAGTAGGTAATGAACGAACTATGTAACTTTACCTTCAAACACACTGCCATCGGAGTCAACATGTCCCAATAGTAATAGTGATACACATGTTTCTCTCTTTGCAACTTAGGGAATGGAGGTGCTAAACCTCCACACCCCATAGCCGTGGCGACTATTGATTCGGGCTTACATTGCATTACCCTCAGCGGTAATGCAATGTAAGCCCGAATCAATAGTCGCCACGGCTACACACCCCAGGGCATCACTACACCGAGAAGAATTTGAGGGCTCAAACCTAACGTTGATTTTACGACGATGAGACCCGCAGTATAAAGGTGAGAATGGAACAGTAACTGCTACCGTTAAATGTCTTTGGTTTCGGAGCGTTTTGCTTTCTACGGATGAACCACGTGCACGGAAAATTCCACGAAATATGTAACCGTTAGTCGTTCTATGATCTAATACATTCTCTCTCCTTCTCTATGACGAGTATCTGCTCAGAGCAGTAGCTGTAGCCTGTGACGGTAGAATTCATTACGGAAAATTTGTCTGTAATTGACGGTTCCACTATTAAAAGCCCAAGGCATAAGGCATCGTTGATTGCGTGCCTATTTAGTGTTTTAATGACAAGCAAAATGTTCAACTGAATCTATCTTGTTCTAAGTATTGGTAATTTGTGCCATTCATGTCGGATTTAGGATGCAAGAAGCAGGGAAGGAGACATCTCTCAGCATCTTCCAGGACCTTATTGTTGCCTAAAACTACACGTCTCATGGGAAAAGGCTTTGAGGGATGAAAAAAAAGGTTAGTGATTTGTGATGTGCATTAAGTAGCTTTTGTACCAAACTTAGAATTCCCTCTGTGTATCTGAGACATTTTTGACAGGGATAATCAAGTTTCTTGGTTGTTGGCAAGGTGGTTGAGTTTGCTTTGGTGACATCCTGAGTGACATTGCTGGTTGGGGGTTGGGGCATTTTGAGGGTTTTGGCTCCTTTTGCACGCATGGCTTTAGTCTGTTTCTGTGGGATACAGGTCCGATGTATGGTTGATTTGGTTTCTGTAACCATGTCGGTGGCTGGGATCGTGTTTGGAGTTGCTGCAAAGTCCAGTCCTCTAGAAAATGGAGACTTCCCTACGTTCTGTTAGCCCATGATTATTTAGGTATCTTGTACTGCCTGACTTTCTTTCTGCATTATGTGATTGTCAGTGGGTCGGGAACCCTGACCATTACATGAGCTGCCTTGTGAGTGGGGGGGGGGTGGATGGAGGGGGTGGGGGGAGGGGGGGGAAGGTAGGTGAGTGGGGGAAGGTAGGTGTGTGGGGGGATGGGGGTGATGGTGTATGTATCCGTTAGTCTTGAGATCCCGAACAAAGACTACGGCACAGGGCCAGAAGGGAGGACAGGGAGATGAAGTGCGTAAGTGATCATGAGCTAACAGAACTGGGGAAGTCACTGTTTTCTGGAGGACTAAACTTTGTAGTTACCTCTGAGCGCAATTCCGGTCGTCAGCATGGGTACAGAAGCTGATCAGGCCAAGCATTGGACCTGGTTGCCACAGGAACGGGTTGAAGCACTGTGTGCAGAAGTAACCATTGCTCTCAAGTGTCCTAATCCCTTGCCAGTGCCATCACACCGGCTGTTGCCAACATTCTCGTTGCCTTGCCAACAACCAAGTGATTGTGATTCTCCCTGCCGGTGATGCCTCGGGTAGACAGAGGGGATTGTTACCTAAATTTGGACTGAAGTTGCATCACAGATCAGTAACGTCCTGCCA